GCCAAGTACGCAAAACCCTTTAAAGTGCGACCATACACGTAATAACAAATTTTATTTTACTCGATTTCAGTTTTAACAGGCATGCCAGAATTCGTAGAGCAAATATTGAAGAATTTCACATCTTTGCTCCCGCCAGGTACGTTCACACAACGTGATAGCCCTGAAGCGTTGGAAAAAGCCTCGAAATTGCGCGCCGCATACATCGAAGGCAACACCGCAAGCCTGGAGGTGTTTTACGATGTAAGTTAAACGTTAGGCACTGTGCTTAAAGTCAAACAGTCAGTTTAATATCAAGTGTGAATTTTTTATTATCACAGGTGATGGGTCACTTGTACTTTTGGCATCCGTTGCAAAAGACTATCAATTTGCGCCTACAGCATGCGAAAAAGGCGCCTACTTATTTGTATCGCTATGATTTCGACTCGGAAAAACTCATTTATCCGTTTCGCTATATGTGGCAAGGACGTGGTGTGCGTGGAGTGGCACATGCAGATGAGTTGGCCTATCTCTTTCACAGTGTGCTCGGCAGGCCAATGGAACGTAACAGTCGCGAGTATCGCAACATTGAACGCATGATTGGCTTGTGGACAACTTTTGCCGAGACGGGAAATCCAAATACCGGAAAAATTAATGGAATGAAAGGCATTAAATGGCGTCCAGTACGCAGCGGCGATAAAGCGCTGAAATGCTTGAATATTAGCGATGAATTGAAATTTATAGATTTGCCTGAAATGCCCAAGTTGAAAGTCTGGCAGGAATTATATTCCACGCATCGCGAAATACCGGAGAAAACCGCAGAAATTGTTGACTTCACAATCTATGCCAAATCAAATCTGTAATGTAATGAAGATAAAGAAGATAAGCAATTGCGCCGGAAATGAGCCGGAAATATTCAGAATTATTTGAACATTTTTATGAGGCGTTTGAAGTGCAGTCTATTATTTTATCACGACTGGGTTGTTATTCTTATAATATTTATACATTAACTGGTGATTTGTATTATTTTATATATATTTGTAGAATAGTAAGAAAATTAATTTTAATTAAAATATAGTGATTAATTAATCATTGGAAGTTATTTTAATTATTTTTAAAAGTTTTTGTATTCAACAATGGCTCGCCATTGACTGCCCTTTTGAATGAAGTCTAAAAGTGATGACTGAGAGTGAATGCAGATAAACAACTTCTGACAATATATTGGACTAACGAATAGAATTTTTCAAAGAGTAGAGTTTTAAGCCTTTTGTTAGACTTACAGATATTTATATACATATATTATATAATATATTTATATAATTTAATTATGATTGAAACAATCAATCAGATATAAAGCTTCTTTAAAATGGCGAAAAAAATGGATAAAAAAGAAAATGATTCAGTAATGATGGGGAGGCAAGTTTTCAGGGAATGAGTGTGAATTGGAGATGGTTGGAGCCTAAATTAAACCAGGATAAAGACGAGATACTTGGCCACTTCAATGAGGTAGCAGATTGGACAGCGGTTTGTGTGTGCGATTTGGCAGGATAACAGATGAACGACGTTGTGGGGGGTTAAGCTGCAGTTTGGGCACTTAATTGAGACTGTTTAGCACATGATTATAATCTGGTCTTAATTGAGATTGAACAGTTCATGCTATACGTCGGTCTCTCTAGAAAATGTTGTGCGGAGGCTTTTTGAGAACCTTGTAAGATGACAGCGGTGGTGTCGAAGAGAATACTGCTTCTGTGTAGAGGGCTATAAGTTCGCGTTTATATTCGACCTCATTGATGTTAGCTTTTTGTAAAAGGTGTCAGAGGTATTTAGATTAATATCTGTCTTTACAGGGGCATAGCACGGCATGGAGCTAGGATTGGCCTACCATGTGGTATCTCCTGCAATGCTACCTGAATAGATAACAGCGCTGTTTGTGTTATGTGACTATTATTGTTCGATATTTTATTTGTTATATACACTTTTTGTTTTGTCATTTATTTGAGTTAATGCAGTTAAAAGACCATTTCGAATAAAAACATCGTATTTGAGTACCATTTTTTAGTAGAAGTCTCGCAATATTTTTATTTCACTCGCATTTGTGTTTCGAATTCTTAGATAATGTTTTATTTAAAATATTTTTTCGCTAGTTCTTATTTCGCGAGGTTTTGGAAAATGTTTTAGTTATGCTATACGGTTTAGTATTTGATTGCGTGTGTGTTTTTTTTTTGTACTAATCGCATACTCTCGTGACTGTTATCTTTTTAAGCAGTCCCAGTTGTGGAGAGAACAATGAAAGTGCCACTCATTAGCTTTCTTTCTTTCCTGACGATGCCTTGCTATTCTAGGGGCCCCTTTCTTTCAATATATTGTTCAACTACAAGGCTCTCAATTAAATAGCCCTTTAAACTTTGTCAAAGTTTGAAGGTAGTTTTAAATCTTTGAGTTTTTCTCATATACTATAACACAATAAGCTAAAGTGGATTCCTTTTGATCGCCAGTACAATCTTACGTACCCAATCTAAGTAGTTTAATCAATCAATTTTTTTGAGAATTTATCTTAAGTTATAGTATTCTGTCTAAAACTGTTTATTTCACATTTCACTGTTTTAAATGACGGAGCTGTTAGCTTATGCTTAACCTTTACGTACAGATCATGGTTCTTAAATTATAAAGGAAATACTTTCTTATTTCGTAAGTCATGGCTTCATAGGCTTTTGCTGCTTAGTCTAAGCCATATGCAAAAAAGGGGTTCAGATATTTTAGTTTCCATTTAACAGAACAAACTCTAATAGGTCAATATTGTTTAATGGCACTTCAATCTACACAATCCTTTATATAAATTTTGCGAGAATTTTAATTTCATCTCTAATAGATAGGTTGCGAACACTAGTGAATTGTAACAACAAAATTTTATTTATTTTTATTAATTAAATTTTTGGCTAATCATACAACTGTTTTTGACAAATACCCATTACGAATTTGCTTGGAAACATTTATTATACATAATTATATTTTTTTGAGACTGCAAGTACCAATGATTAAACTCATACTCTGCCAAATTTAAAGCTCAGAGTAAATAAATTTTATTTCTACTTAGTACGTTCAGGATCGATATCATAATCCCTTCATAAATCTCAAAATTGGATGAAGTATGAATTAAGTCAGCAAAATTGGAAACTTAAGTATGATTTCAGTTAGTATTGAGATCTGATCTACTACTGTGAAATTGGCTATGAGTATCTTTAAGAACACCTTCTTTCAGATATACCTATTCATATTGTAAATGATGACTTTATTGACCATAAAATAGTTACATTATAATTAAAATGAAATACTTTACAACGTAATTATAATTAAAAAATGTTCGCATATGTGTTTATTGTTTCATCCATTCATATCAGTGTTGTTAATCATTGATTTTGCAATATTATTTCATTATTAACCAGTTGTGGATTTTATTAAGCAATCAAAATTTTATTAAGATTTTTAATACAAATTGAAATATCCAACATTTACAGATTAAAATCAAGATATAATTAATTACAGTCCATCTACAATTTGCAATTACTGGTAATACCAAAACAAGTGCAAAATTAATATCACAAAAATATATATATTATATATAGCAAATTGCTATAAATAAGTACTGCCCAGCGATGAAGGCACTTACGGCTTCACCAGCGCCTTACCCGCGTTGCATTTTTAATTTTTATATTTTAATTAAACTGCGGACAGACAAAATATGGCTGCATTGTAGTTATCGCGATTGGAATCGGCGTCTATATATATTAAACTATATTGACTGCTAGTAGTGAAGTTAATTGAGAATGAAATTGCGTAAAACAATTAATGTCAGTCGAAAACATATTTTTGCTTCAACATTTGGAAAAAATTGCCATGCGAAAAAATATGTTCCGTGCGAAATTTGTTTCATTTTTGAAATTTTGTTTACATTTTCAATTATGCAAACTGCACTTGCCTTGCCATTAATTCATTAAAATCCGCTGATTTATGCCAGCTCTCCACTAATATCAGGTTTAGTTTTTGCATGCACTCCGCGATTATTTGGCGTATGCAATCGCGCCAATCCCGTCAATCCCGCCAATCGCACCAATCCCGCCAATCGCGCCACAATCGCCAACCGTTAATAAAACGCTAAGTAACATTTTTTTAATTGAGTTATTTAAATATCCATTTTTTACTGCATTAAATATAAAAACTATTAAAAACATAAAATAAAATATAGTACAAATAAAACACAATTAATTGACTGTAGATACATTTTTTATAAATTTATTTTTTTCTAGATAACGACAAACGTAAATACGTAATGACGCGTAAGTGGATTAATGGAATGTTAGTCGAGGAATATTTATTTAGTGTAAAAACTGCTTTGATATCAATTTCAACAAATTACACGGAAATGATGGGTTAAACTAAAATAATTAACAAAAAATTCAATTTTTTTGTGTTTAGAAAATGTAGTTGGGGATGTTGATTTTTGAAGAGATGATATCGGTGTTATAACTATTAATTTTTAATAATTAAAAGTTAAAACCACTTAAAATAAAAAGGAACCACAATTTTTAGTTTAATATTTTACCCACTTATATCTTATGGATTTCATCCATCCATATTCTAAACTGTCACAGAACAAAATTTATGGGAAGTTTTTTCCAATGAACTTCAATTTTCATTCATTAAGAAATATAAATTTTTTGTCAAAGAATAAAGACATTCTAAGGAGGTGTATAGGTAGAGCAGCCGCGCTAAGACCACTCATACTTACTTACTTAATTGGCCCTTATAAATGTGAATCATCCTTCTCCGCGTCAGGCAGCCTCACTGTCTCCAGTTAGAAGTGTTGAGAGTTCCTAAACCATTAGTCTCTTGATCCTTCCCCCGAAGATGCGGACGTCCTCTACTATGTGTTCATACTGCAGATACCGAATCAAACAAATTTCTAGGGAGAGAGCTTTCCTTCTTTCGCACGACATAACCAAGCTAGAGAAGTCGCTAAATTTTTATGCACTTAACTATATCAATGTCGCTGTATTGCTCATACAGCTCATCGTTCCATCTAATTCAATACTCATTACCAACGCGTAAGGAACCATAGATCCTCCGAAGAATATTTCTTTCGAATGCTACTAATGCCTTGTCATTACTGTTGATAATTGTCCAAGCTTCTGCACCAAACAGCGGATCGGGCATGATAAAAGACTTGTTAAGCATGATTTTTGTTTTTCAAGAACCTGAAATAGCATATGTTAACAAGAGTGATTCTTCGTTGAATCTCTAGGCTGACGTCATTATTGGTGTTTACGCTTGTTCCTAAATACACAAAGTCTTTCACAACTTCGAACTTATAATTGTCAACAGTGATGTGGGTTCCAAGACACTCATGAAATTTGTTTGTTGATAGAAAGTTTTTTGTTTTGTCCTCATTTACAGCAAGACCTAAATAAGTTTTAAGTAAGCTAGGAAAATATAAAGTTAGAAAGAGAATAATAGAGAAGACAAGACAAAATTTCTTTAACAGATGGTTCGATGCATTTTCTACATTCATAACTTTTGACAATATTTATCCCTTGAGTCTATGCTGTAATTTAACAGTACCAGGTTATAAAACCGATTAGCCTCCTACAGTTATTTTAATACAACGATAAAATAAATAGCTTTTTTAAACATTTTATTCTTTTCGGACTGCAGACTTATCTGGTGAAAGACAAAGAAACTGCAAACCGTCCTAAAACTGGAAAAATGTATTACCTACTTTATTTAAATTCACAATTAAATTTGAAGCAGATGGTTTGTGGTTTGAAGTTGTATTCAAGGGTACCAATAAAAAGTGCTTAGAAATGTAGTCTAACACCGCTATACATCAAGTTACTTCATATATTAGGGCCTATAATTTAATTTGGAAATAAAATCGGTGCAAGTCCTTTAAACAATGGCCAGTCTACGAAAACGTTAAAGAGGTGGCAGATTTTGAACCTCTCAAATTGAGTTTAAGTAGAATGTTATTTATAAATTTAACGCAC